CGTTTGCAACTCTAAGTTGTTGATGTAGTGCGCTATTTGAGTAGGGAAATCCGAACTGCATTGGTGGTGGGCAAATATTAAATGGAATTTCATTGTGTATGAAATAAAGGATGATTTTTTTCAGTGATTTTTGAAAGGTACAGAGCAAGTTGTGGGCCGGTTAATTTTGGGGAAAGGCATGTTTTTGTTTTCGTTTCTGAAACACAATTATTGTAGCTTGATACTCGCTCAGAAATCTGTGCACTAGCCGAGGTAACTTTTCCGGGGTTTTGCAAGCGGAATCTGACAGGTGCATTTGACCTAAACCTAAAGCTTATGAATATGGTGACCTTGCAGATATACAATCCTTTTAAAACGAAACCGATGCATAGTATAACGGAATTTTAAACTTGCCTAACCTAAATGTTATATGCATGGCTTAGTGGAGCAATTTATCCCACAAGCAATAGCTTTAAAGCACTATACTAAATGCTCACTTAAGACTGAATTCATAAATAGGCCTTTCAATAAAATTCCTTATTAATAACAAAATAAAATAAAGCTTCATATACAAAAAGTTCAATGCATAACAAGCAAGTAGAATCTGAGTAAATAATTTCAAAACATTACACAAACGTAACTATATATCTTGCATAAAAATTGCATGCAAAGAAATATTATATGATTTATTAAGTACTCATTATTTTTAATTAAATTACGACTTAGTCGATAACAGTCAACAAAAACATACATAATTCATTTTAAATATAATTTTGTTTCTCTTTTTATTTTATTCTTTCAAAGTTCTGAAGAACATAATGAAAAACAACTATTTCACATTCTCTCTAAACAAAATTATTCAGAAATCTTTTTGTCTCTAAAATTTTTCACTTTTTCAAACTTCAAACTTTTCCATATTCTATGAACAATAATCAGTTTTTCTGATTTCAGTTTGTCTAAAGTAACCATATGTGCTTAGACAAACTGAAGACTCATGTCTCATGAAACACTCATGTCAAGACATGAGTGTTTTATACCAAGACCAGTTTTTGCAGTTAATGCATTTAGAACAGTTCCTTCAATGTTTATGCCCTAAACTTTCACGTCAGACACATCGAATTTCTTTAGCAAATTTCTGCTGCAAATGTATATATTCTTGGCATTTAAAACATCTTATCAAGTTAAGATATTCTCTCAACGTCATTCTTCGATTTCAGTTTTTCAGGGTTTTTTATACTTTTCTGATTGTATTTCAGCAACCCAATGTAAATTACTATTTTTAACTTTTATGGAAAACAAAAGTTTAAAATCACCATCACAAAATGCTTCATTTTGCCTTATGAGAACATCTTCAGTTTCATGATGAGTAATCTCAGTATTATCATCGTAAATAATTATCTTAGATTTCTTTTCAGCAGGTAACTTCGAATTTCATCTTCTAACACACGATTTACTTTTATTTCTTCCTCCAAATTCTTCGTCTCATCTTGATTCATACACTCAACAAGGAGATTTTGTTCGTTTTTCTACGAACGACGACGTCAACGGGTCTAAGTACATTATTTCTTACATTCTTCATTCTAATTTTAAATTTCGGATGGTTTATTATATCCGGATTTTTTTTTAATTCTTCGGATAAAACACTTGCTTTATTCTGGTATAAGAACCTAACAAACATGCTGTTCAGTTTTCTTTACTATATCACGTTTCAGTGAAAACTCTTTTCCAACTGCCTTTTGCACTTTTACAACCTGCGCAAAGGAAGGTTAAACATTTTTCTTCTATCTGATCTTCTATTCTTTCTTCGAATTCCCCCCTTAGAGACCTCATCTACAATGGTTGTGAAACAATTATGCTAAATAAAATCTCTTGTGCAAAGATAATCTTCTTTTTCAGACTTCCACCTTACTATTAGTTGATTCTTATAAAATGTCCCTATATCACATGTTAATATTCCAACCTTATTAACCGACTCAGTGTCCATCACGGACTCAGTCTGCACTATCGATGTTTAGATCTACTTTCATGATTTTGGTGTGAGCCACCTCCCTAAGGCTTCCGTTGCTTCCAAACTCTGGAAGTTTTGTCACTAAAACATTGAAAAATTAAAGTAATAAAGTAACAGTACAATACAAATACCGAAAGAGTAAAAATATAACAGAAAAATATATACAATATGTACACTATATACAGGATATTGCACTATATTGCACACTGCAGATTAACCCAGCAGATTTAGCAATTGAACAGAACATGTTATTTAGTGGTGGAGAAGAAGAATTGGATGAAACTGAGGATGAAGAAGATATTTTAGAAATGTGTCAGCTTCCTTCATGTACTGAAAATGATTTTAGTGATTTAGAAACTGAAGGTGATGATTTTAATTCTGAAGGTAATAATTTTATCGGTAAAGATGGATCAACAAGACCAGCAAAATCAGTAGGACGTAAAAATGTCAAACGAAGGTCACATAATATTATAACTAAATTACCTAGCGTAATAAGTACTGCAAAAAATGCAAGAACTATATATGATTCTTGGAATTGCTTTTTTACAGATGAAGTACTAGACATAATTGTCACTAATACAAATTGATGAACATAGAAGAGGGCGTGTTTTGCTAAACAAATATTTATTACAGAGATACGCAGAGTTACATGCAGATTCCAAGATTGAAATTCCAAGTTCTCCCCTTTCGCGAGGGGTGGTTGATTGGCGACTTGGAATTTCCGTAGGGGTTTCAAAATGGTGACTTTGGCGAGATTGTTAACATGAAGGAATGCTGAAGTTGCAACTGGTTTAATTTTTGGCGGGGAGTGAGCAATGCCAAGTTGGTATTCCGGCGCGTCCCCTTTTAACGGGCTGTTTTGTGGGACGAGGTCACTTTTTGGATTTTTTTCACTTGCCACTCGATGTTGTGCTAGCCGACAGCTGATTTTTCGGAATCATGTTCGAGAGAATTTCTTTTCTGGAAGGGCCATTGTTAGGCCGTTGCTTCCTGAGGCTTACTTAATGATTTCCCCAAGTAGCAGGATCCTCGTGGCCTTCGGCCCGAGAAATTTTCTGCATCAGCTCTCAAGTGAAATAACGGATGAGATAATATAATTTTTAAATACATTAAACATCGATACTAGCTAAATTTTCCATCGTATTACTCATTTTTTTTCAATATATCATCAAGTACTTCCAACCCTGGGTCTAACCGTCGTGAAGAAAACACTTAATACACCGTATCCAGAGAGAAACGAAGATTCTCGTATAGTGCCATCTTTTTCTTGCTCCTCGGAGTTCTAGGAACTTTTCATCCTTTACGTTGCATCCGGATTGAACTTTCATCTTAAGCGTGGGTTAAGACCCATTTCAGAGTCGAATTTAACAAAAATATTCTCTGTGAGCATCGGAGAGTCATCTTGGCGGAAGTTTGCTCCAATTCAACTGAATCGGCTGTGTCGTCCACATTATGAAGGGATGGTTTCCTGCTGTCACCGTTGCCCTACCAACCTGTGCGGTCCTGCATCTTGCATAGTGTTAATTGCCATTTTCAAGAACTTTCGCCTGCTTCTTAATAACAGATGATTGCGCCTTATTCAGTAATACGACGTCCATTTGCGTCAAGATGGTTTTCCTATCTCCCATCCCATAGCTGCCCGTCTGAATGTCAAAGATAAGTATTTTTTTTTGTTTGTTGTTGTTTGCTTTAATTGGTGAGGTAATAGATTTCTGCAATTAAAAGGATTGAAATAATGCAATTTGTTGAACTTTAAATTTTTTTGTAGTTGATAAATTTAACCTAACTCTATAGAAATCATTTTTGTGTGTCGATTAAGTAAAATTATTAGATTGACTAAGGAATTATAACCTTATTTAAATTATTGTATTTTAGTTTAATTGTAAAAGAAAAATTAAGTTCTTCTTGATATTATTTAATTGAACTTTTGGAGTTCCTTCTTGGTGAGGATTGATTTGTAACAGTGTCATTATTTGAGCCTCTTTGCTCCTCTCAGGGATTAATTTTGCTTGTAGGATTGTAATAGCATAAACTACATAACATTTATCCGGTTAAACTATACTTAAAAAAAAAAAGAAAAAAAAAGAAAATTATTATGTGCAATAACTGAAGCTATCTATTTTTTATTAATGGTATTAAGTGCAATAGTCTGCAGTATTTTTTTTTTTGTTTTATATTGATTATTCTGTGTGAAGTGTTTCTTTTTTCTGGAAAGTGTAACTTGTTAAATTTATTTTTTTTCTTTCTCCCTGGGGAGGGTATTGTTCATTTATTCATAGTTTATTTCTGATATGTTTACTTGATGGTAAAAGTAATTATAATAGATATTTTAAAGGCTAAAGTTAAAGTAATATTACTCAGTATCCCCCCCCAATCTGCATCTACATACAAACATATGTTTGCCTTTTCCAAATTACATTTTTTGTATATCAATTTTAATCATATCCGGCAAGCAACATCCTGGAGATATACCAAAGATGTGTTTGTGCTATGTGGGTTATTTGCAATGCTGCTCTACAGAGTTTTAATCCTGTTGATGATTCTTGCCATTATTAATCAGCATTTCAATAGTAATCGGTATTTGCTAAATAAATACCGAAATTTGCCTGCGAATTAAATACAGCATATTCCATTAGAAATCCCAAATTTTATTCGGGGAAAATACATGATAATCTCTTAACTTTATTTAACTAAACTGATTGTTAAATCAATTCGTTTAGCGTTATATAAATTCCGGAATAAAATGTAATTTGGCCTCACTTCATTTTTCGTTAAAGCTTCCATACTCTCATTTTGCTTATTGTTTGTCAATTGGAAAACGTGTTGGCTTAAGCCTATTTCTTTGGAAAAATGTGTAGAATTAAGTTTTTTGTCTTTGTTTACGATTTCCGACAATTTTAAATTAAATGAATTGTCACCACTAATGTTGCAAATCGAAGCTCCGAAACTTAACGCGAAAACATTTGGCAGCCAAAAGCATTCTAAAGACGACCCAAAAAAATAATCAGATAATCTATTCTTCAATATCCACCACTTTGCCTGAAAGAAACAAAGCAGTTTTACTAGAGAAAAAAGATAACATAGTTAAAACTGTTGATAACAAAAGTGGCGCTTTTCAATATTTTATACAATGACAGGATACGAAAAAACTGATGGTCAAGAATTATTTAGATTGTATTTTAGTATATAATTCTTTATTTTTTTTAATCAAAACTTGTGTCAAGAAATTCAATTTCACATTATTCAACCAATGTAAAAACGCGTAACTTGACTTAAAAAAATAATTTTTTCTCAGTTTTTCATTAAGCAAATAGTGTAAGCTTGTTTCTCTGTCTTTATCCACATACATATAGACGAATGTCTGTGTGTTTGTTCGCGATTAACTCAGTCACTACCACAGCTATCGCCACTAAACTTTCTACAGTTCTTTTCTAGGTCCTGGAAAAGGTCTACGTCCACTGTTTTCTGAAAAAAAGCTAAAATCAGATATATTAATTAAAAACTCTGAACATGCTAATTTTCGCCCTCATTTTTCCGTGTGGCAGCAGTCTCGCACGGTGTATAAAAATCTGCTTTATTTTGCGAAGGGTTGCCACTGCTCGCTTTCAAATGAAGAACCTGAGCATTTTAAAATTTACGACTTTAATAATATTACTATCAAACTTTTAGATATAGTACCTGATCTTAAAAATAGACCTTTTTAAGAAATCTCTATATATTCTGCTGTTAAGAACGCTTTATCCCTATGTATTAAAGTCTTTTATTAAAGGTAAACATGTCTTTAATGCTATCGTTTATGAACAATTAAGTCGTTTTAGTTAAAACACGCAAAGAGGTACCAGAGGAAATAGCAAAAAATTAAATCTTCTCTGAATGCTAATATTCTACAGTTAAAATTTCAAGATTTATTTGAAGAGCAATATCTCAAGAAAACAATTCTTAACTACCTCCATTTCCTACCTCACAGTTTCCGTTAGAAAGTCCTCCATGAAGGCATCCCTCCCCTTAGGCAGATAGCCCTCGAGGCTTTGCCGTAATTAAATAACCTAACCTAACCCTACCTCTCAGACATCTTTTTATCATTCAAAATTTTGTCAAAGACATTCAAAGGAAATAATCTAATTATAGACTTGGTAACTGATTTCATAAAATTCCAATTCAACTGTGCTTCTCCCAAAAAATTTTTAAAAAAAATTCTGTAACCTTAACTTCCTATGTAAAAATTATGATGATCTTCAACGTCACAAGATTTTTAAAAAAGCACAACAAAAATTTCCTGCAACAAATTATAAGTATCGGTTTGCTTCAAGTACAACAAAAAACTAAGTAGTCCTATTTCTAACCATAATGAAGAAGATTTTGCAGCACAATGATTTTGTAATGAAGGAAAATTTCTTCAATTTATTGACGAAGAGCACAAGCATATTATAACAAGAAATCTGGACCTTGTTCAAGATCAAGAGATTAGACTGCTTATGAGAAAAGGAACGGAGTTTAGATCTATTAAATTCATTAGTAAATTGCACTGCAGAGAAAGTATCAAATATTGTTAATTTAATCTTGAAAATTAGTTCTCAACATAGTTTACCTTCACATCTATTTAAAGAATGAAAGAATGAAATTGTTACTCAAAGCCAACGAAAAATTGAGAAAAGACAAGAATTTAAAGGAATTAAAAACTGGAAAAATTTACTTCTGAAGTTTTCACAATTAAAAAAGCAATTTACCATAACCAAAACGGATAAAGCAGACAATAATTTCAGTATTTTATGAAAAAAATTTTACAGTGATGTAATTGAAAAGGAACTGAAAAATTCTTCGACCAGCAAAAGTCTGCAAAAATAAAGAATGAACTGCTATTAACAAAATTTCTGCTTCTAAAAAAAGGAATTTCTCATTTCCCTACAAATAACAGATTTGCAAGCATTTATCCATTCCCAAAAATTTCATAAAAATCCTGTAAAATTTATATTAATAGCCAATAGTACCAGAAACTTCACGATGAATTTAAATAATATTTTAACATTGTACTTAAAACTACTCTTAATATAGTCTTAAGTTAAATATATAGTTAATATTAGGAGACAAAAACTTCTGCTGGATTATTAACAACTTTTAATTATTGAAGAAGTTAGAAATATTAAAATTTACAATATTAACTGCTATGAGTTTGAAAAACTTCTACACGTTTTTGCCACTCAAAAAACGTACGAAAGTCTTTTAGAAATGACGGAATTTTTTCCTGAAATATTTAATATTCTGGATTTACAAAAATGGAAATAATTTCTACATTTTTTGCTAATAATAACTATATTAAACAATTTTTCTTTATCTGCAAAAGCAAGAAATTCCAGTGAGGAGTTCGGGTGTACTCCAACTGCGCTAATGAAAATCCCCCCCCGGGTTGAACTATAGTCCAACTACGCCAATCAAAATTTCTTCCCCCTGCTGCCTACAGGGTTACAATTTAACTTTTCGAAGCCAATTGTAGCCAAGAGGAAAATAAAAATAAATAAATAGAATTACATATCACAAGAAAAAGTAAAAAAATATCTAACAAGCAGGCTAATTACTTGAATAACAGTAATAAATGCGGGAGCTAACAAAGAAAATAAAAGGTGTTGGTAAACATATATATTAGCGTTACAAACATCTTTCATTTATTATAATAATATCATAAATTAAATAATTATAAAGCATTCCATATCAAAGTGTGTTAAAGTGTGCTAAAAATATTTTTTGTTAATTAAAGTAATCATGTAAATGTTTGCAGAAATTGAAAAACTGAACACTGACGTATAAATTGGTAAATAAATTTAAATTATTATGCTAAGAATTTTTTTCTAAAATTTATCTAGAAGAAAGGAATTAGATAAACAATACTGCAAATTAATATAATCAATCAGGCCTCTCAATAAATAAAAGTTTATTTTTTAACCAAAAATTGAAAATTGGGATGCAAAAGTTTGAGTAATGTACTTGGAAATATCTGAACATATAATTAATTAGAAAAGTATAATTGAATTAATAACAATCTAATTAACAGTAACATTAAGCTTAATTTTATTCAATCTAAAACAAGCAATCGATCAGGATCTCTGCATAACTGAAGTTTTAATGCTATTTTACGTAGATTTGAGTATCAAATAAAAGTTGCACTTGTGAAACAAATGAATAATGTACTGACAGTCAACAGGAATTAAAATGCAGTGGTTAAAAATATAACTACTTGTCAGAAGGTATGCAAAGTTGCTATGGCTAGAGAAATTGAATGATTATAGAAAACTCATAATGTTAAGCGCTACAGTGTGAAAAGAAAATTCTGGAATAAACATGTTAAGAAAGTTAGATGGAAAAATAATCCTTAATTTATTGATATCCATATAAATTCTATGCTTTTGGAAAAATGTTACATATAATTTACACCGAGGCATCAATCACCGAAACCGAGTTAATTTCTTTCCTTATTTTTTCTTATTAGAGGGATTTGTAAAAAGATATGCTAAGGTAAAGGTGAAAATTTTTGCAATATTTTTAAAGAATAAATTTAAAAAGTATTTTTACTTCATTAAATTTCAAGTAATTAATTTTACAAATAATTTAGCCTGAAACTAGGTTGGAAAATAAGCTACATGCTGAAGATTAAGCTTTGCCAAGGTGTTAGAAACATTTTCTATTAACTAGAGTTGTGATGCAAAAATTTGTGAAAATTATCATTTAAATATAAATTCTCATAAATACAATACAAAGTATATAAATTCTACATACATGAAAACTTGAGTACAGTGCAACAATATGTGAAAAAGGAATGGATTAAAAGGGAATCCCAGGATATGAATATAAGAAGTTTGATTTTTTTTTGGTTAATCATGAAAATTCTGCTGACGCTCATAATTATTAATTTATTAATTAAATGTGTATTAGAGATTAAATGTATGCCAAAGTACATCAGGTAGTAAACAGAATAAATATTTAAACGTTTCTAGTATTAAACTATGGAATTTGTAACAAAGTTAAATAACCTTAAATTAACTTCAATGATTAAAAATGGAAAGCTTAATACGGGAATATATTGCAATATTATTAGTGTGAATTTAGAACGACTTGAGAGTCCAATTTTTAGATTTAATAAAGAGAATTTTGTTAATTAAATTAGAACTGTTTACCTAAATTGGTAAATTTAAAAGCTAAAACCATTCTGCTATCTAAGAAGATTTGTTAATATTTATCTAGACAAGAAACTTATTTAAGGTGACCTACAAATCCGCTATTTGATACGTTGATTATGTATCAGTTTTGTGTATGTCATTAATCTATCAATTTTACTATTCAAAAAACGATTAAAATCTACAACTTGGAAAGTTTTTAATTCTTACAGAGAATAAAAAAGATCTGGCTCATCATTCCTTTAAGCATCATAAAACTTTAAAATGAGTGTAAAAGAAATTTATTTTAAATTTAGCACACGCCAGACTTTAAATTAATATTTGTTTTACATGCACAATTTTTACAATATTGATAAACGAAAATAAAGGCTTGCAGTGTCAATAGAATGTCCCATTAATGGCGATAAATGACTTTTTGTAGCACCCAAACTTCTTGGGTAAGAAATGGGGGAGAGGAAACGTCGCGCAGTTCGTAGATTAGAAAATAGGGGAACGAGGATCTTCGATCAAATTTGGCGCAGTTCGTACCCTAACGGGAGTTCATATTCTACTGATACTTGTAAGTTATTTCTGTTTTCTAAAGAATACAAATTCCTTAAGAGCCTTTCTGCTAACAATTTCAGTAAATTTGCTGCTAACACTTATAGATACTTTATTGATGATAGTATTACTTTTAACAATTTTAATCACATCGAATATCTACCCCAACTGTCTAAAACTAAATAAGACCATTAAAAACCAAACAGAAATTAAAATTTTTGATAAAAGAAAAGATATAATTTTTTGTACCTTTAAATTGGCCATCCAGCATATATCAAAAAGTTATTGCAAATACTATTATTAGCCAAATTAACAGAATTAGAAATGTTTACG